TGGACAGCAAGTGTGCAAAGGTGATCATGGTGATATTCACATGTCAATGCTCCTGTCACTGTAGGTATAAAAAGCCACACAAAACCTGCACTAACAATGTCACAACTAAAATGCAAAAACTCCAGACAGATGAAAGGAATATGCTGGATGTCCAGGGTGTCTAGACATCTCACTAAGCACTGATCACTAGCGTCATGTCTGCCATCACAACACAATACCGTCTCTCTGTGAGTGCTAAACATGACACTACTCAGGACTGACAGAGCAACAGCTGGCTTGCATTGGATCAGCCCATGCGTCGTCGTGTTGTATAGTAAATCTACACTACTACTACTCCACATTTCTGAGCTGTGTGCTGCACCTCTGGCTCAGGGTCATGATTTCTCAGAGAGAAATAAACACACTCATAAAGCTGACACCACATCAGCTACAAACACTGCAGAAGGAAGACAAACGAGATACTGGAGTCGTTTATTGAAGAAACAAGCCCCTCAGCATTTAACTTCGGTTGATTTGCTGCCCCGGGGTTATGTGCAGACCAGTCGGTTCTGCACAGGCAGAAGATGACATGAATCAGCCTGTTCACGTAGTGGAATTTCACACTAAATGCATGAGTTGCAGTTTTAGTGCCTCTCAATAAGTATGCGCACAAATCACATCAATTGAGGTTATGCACAAACATATTTCGTCTGGAAAGAGGCCTTGTGAATGCAATTATAAAAAATAAAAACAATGCGAAAAACAATTTGACTTGTCTGTGAGAAATGCGAAGCACCAATTTACTCTCTGATTGAGGCCATTTCAGCTGCTACGCGTCCAGTGTTCTAAGATTCATTATATTGTGATCTGGTGAACAGGATTAAACATTACCTCCTGTTCGTTTTCTTCATTATTAAAAGACCAGCACAAAATGAAAGAGTGAACCACCTGCTGTGGCACAAACAGCCAAAGTTTTGACAGCCCAATCAGCAGCTAATCCAGTGAAGGAGGGGCTCTGCTTGTAGAAAGTGACAACACCAGGATATTAAGGTTTCACATCTCTCTCGTCACTCAGAGGGCAGCGAGGATGGAAGGGAGAGACCAGTGTAGCACGCCGCAGAGAGGAAAATGGAGCTTTTCTTCACTGCGGAGCAAGAGTGAGTACAAAACAACCCTCTGTCGTTCTTTCCCACAATGGGCACAAATAACGACACTGGATCCCACCACTGTAAGAAGAATGGTACAGTGTAAGCGGGCCCTGCAATCTGGGCACAGCGGGTTTTGACAAACTTCAGTTCTGCAGATGTAATGTCATTGCTACTATGACTCTGAAAACCATCTCAGATAGATTGCTGGCATCTTATTGGGGATCTGCTACTTGAGAGGGGTGGGGGGTACTTGTTGAACTGGTGATAATCTCTTTGGCTCCGAGATTCAGATGCCAGCAGCCATATCACTCTGCAACTCACAACTGGCAGCCCATTGAAGCTCAGCAGGTGTGAGCCTGGTCAGTACCTGGATGGGAGACCTCCTGGGAAAACAAAGGTTACTGCTGGAAGAGGTGTTAGTGGGGCCAG